CTTTCCCCATGAAAACTGCAGCAAGTGTGTTTTTCTTATTAGTTTGTAGCATGGCTGTACCCGTGCGGTAAATTTCTAACGATTCATTTCATCTTTCTTCAGTTGCTTTAAAGACTTTAAGCATGCACTTTTCATATGATAGCATTTTATCACCTATCAGGCTTGAGTAGATTTAGTTTGTATATGGTGAACTACATGTGTATTTGGCAAAAATATAAGCCAAAAAGGTAAAAGAGTAGAGACCAGAAAAGAAAGTGGAGGCACAGAGCCGTAACAGTAACAGAAGAGGACGAGGGTAGAAGAGTCAGGTATCAGATTAATTGGGGACCAGGCTGGTTGCCAGATACTGCATTAGTGAGTGTTGCTTAGAGATTTCCCTTTCACTCTTTTCTTGGCTGATTGAAGTGGTCATCCATCAGGTATCTGAATCCAACCCATGCTATCAAAGCAGCTTCTATTCCTGCCGTTATTTATGGGAAAAAAGTGCCTGTAGCTCTCCCATGTCCATGAAACAACACTGTACCTTCTTGCAGCAGCCAGAATTGGATGGGCCAGTGGGCAGTTTCATTAGATGATGTGGAAATAAATTAAGTGCTCAAAGGAAAAAAAGTTGATTTTTTTTTTTTCCCCATTCTGCCTGGTAATTAAAGTATACTTAGGTATGGTTCTTAGGGGCAACCTGGCCTGGACCCAGGACACTTTTAAAACAAATATTTTGTTCCAAAAATTTGGATTAATATATTTTAATTGGACATTTTAGTATGCTACTCAGTAAACTCTAGAATAGGAGAATTTCAAAGAAAGAAGAGCAGTTACATAAAATATGAAATAACCTGGATTCAATGAACAGGTATGTATGTGCAACACATGTATGTGGACACGAGTCATATTACTAACTGATTTTAACTGGGAATTGAAACTTTCTCTGAAATGCTGCACACTAAATTCTGCAACTTCAAGCTACTTTAGGAGAATGAGAAAGTAACATTTCTCAGAAAGAGATTCTGTCAAGCTGAGTGAAAAACCACCATGCATCAATAGTGGCACTGTAAGAAAAAAGAACAGATTCAGCAGCAGATGCTCCCATGCCTCCCAGCCTTGCATAAAAGATGTTGCTAGTGGTGTTGCATAAGTCAATGTTTCTTAGAAGTACACATAGCACAGAGTTTCTTCTTACCAGCTGGACTAACAAAGTGGCTTTAAGTAAACTTGGAAAGCATAGAGGAACCAGAATATGCCAGTAGCAGGTGGAGATTCAGTCTTTTTCCCAATCCATTTCAAGCTGTTCCAGCCCAATTCCCTTCCTTCTAGAAACCCTATCAGTTCTTCACTCTTGTTCAAAATGTTAGCCGTTCGTGGCTAGCCCTTCTTATGTGAACTAACTTTTTTTTTGAGAGCATATGGTAGCATATGGCTTTAGAGCTGCAGCAGCAACTCACTACAGTACTTGCCATACCGTGATTTTGAAATTGCTTCTCTGGTGTTTCCCAACATGAATACCGTGTCAGATTTGCAGAATTTGTCATATTGTTTATGGCTTTTTGATTTGGTAAGTGGGAGGAGAGCCTGACTTTGGTTTTGTATTTTTAGTGGGTTTTTTCTTAATTATTTTTTATTGTGTATTACATTATAGCAATTCCCCACAGTTTTCCTCTTCCTCAGTTTTCCTCCCTGTAGAATGGGCTTTGGAATATGTAATAATTTTTTAGTTTGGTATCAACCACAGGAGAATAAAGATATGCTGTCTTCTTTGAGGTAAGTGTAAAATAGGCAGATGAATTTGCATTGCCCCTTCTGAATGAAAACAAAGCTTATTCCATGAATAAAAGAAGGTACAAGTTTAATTTGGAGTACAAAATTGGAAATAAATTAGTTCTAAATCAAATTAACCTTGGCTTTTTTATTCTCTCCCTACTTGTTCTTTAGGTATGAACAACCTAAGTGTGATAATGGTGCCAGAGCGCACCCAAGCAGAACAAAGGATTTGTACAAAGGACGCCAGCTTCAAGGTCAGTGAAACAGATAAATTTGGTTTAATGCATTCCAATGCTTTGTTTATTCACTGCAATAAATTAGAAAGCAATTTCTTACCCTATATCAAAACAATGTATCTTTTAGATATCGCTATATTGATTTGCCACTGACAAGTCTTTGACTTTGAAACGGTGTATGTAAATACGGGTCTTGGGATGTTGTCAGAGAAAGTAAGGCTCATTTTTCTCAGTAGTTTAAAGGCAATCACATTTACTTACTGCAATTATTTCTTGCTGTTGTCATACCAGAGAAGTCAGCAAATACATCCAGAATAACTTGGCCCATACTTCATAATCCTTGTTTTAGCAAGATGCATGGGAAATTGGCCTCTATCCTCAAATCAGTCTAAAAAATGTACCATCTACTTACTTTTTTCCAAGAATACCCCTGTCAGTTTATCTCAGAATAATATTACTTTGTTCTTCTTTGCTGTAGGAGCAAATCTTAGTGTTTATTAGATTTTTCATTTTTTTTTCACACTTTTTATGAGGGTGTGAGAGATTCTGTCTCTGGATAGTTGAGCTACACCGAAGTCAGTAGACATTCTTCATTTTTTATATGGCCTTTTAATATGTTTGAATAACTCGAGGTGTAGCAGGTTTAGTGATATTGCACATGTTATGAGAGAATTATGAATCACTTTCACCTATTGTAAAGAACCAGAAACAAGCAAATAACATGGGCAGATTTTTTTGCGTCATGAAAAATATTTCAGTTTATCTACCCAGAGAAACATCTAGACAATAATTCTGAACTAAACATGCCCATTGGTGTTGAAATGCATATTGAATGAAACATGCATTAATATTCTCTGTCATGAAACAAATTTAATTAAAAGATATAATAAAAAAAAGTAAGAAATATGAATAATATGTTATTAGACCACATATAATTATGTGTTGTGTTCTACATAGAAAGAAGTCAATCATAGGATTAACTGTAAGCCATCCAATTATTGTGGCTGTAAAAATGGTGTGTGACCCAAAACCATATCTAGCTACGTATGATGGGACAGACAGACAGGAACAGGACAGAGAAGGCAGACAAGGAAACATTCGTGCCATTTTAGATAGCCCTATTATTATTTGTGGATTTTATCTAGAACCATTCCGGTCATCTGTGTTCGGGAAAATGGATACAGAGAAGTTAGCTAGCACTAATGTGTCAGGGAAAGCAGCTACTTTCTGAGAGAAGGCAGCTAGCATTTGCTTCATGTAGACAAACAAGATGAAGTCTGGATGTGATATTGTTCCTCTGAGACCATGAGGAAGTGAAACTGCTTTCCTCAGTGACAATTTTGGCACAAGAAAAATAAATATGAACTACCTTGAATGAATTTCACCTGGGAGCTGTAAAGTGGTTTCCAACTATTAAAGCAGTGAGACAACAGCCTTCTAAAGGACTAGTAATGGGGCAAAAAATCTGGTTACTTTTTTAGGTAGATCTTGATTGCTTTATGAAAGAGATGGCGGGAGACAGTCGAATGAATGAAGTACTCCATATTAAGGCTTATCACTTAAGATGCTGAACAGGTATATCTACTAAGAGATGAAAAGCTGATATACACTAAAATTCACCTTGGAGCATGAATTTCACAGGTCTTACCAAATTATCTCCATTTCTCTTCCTTCACAAAAAAATGGATGGAGCATGCCTGACTTGCAGTTTCGCTATTTAGCTGCTGGCAGAGTTCAGCTAGAACTGCATATGCCACTTAAATCCTCAGATATGTGGTACATACACCTCTGATGACAGTCAGATTGATGATGTTTATCTGTCATTTTATCAGTCAGTACTGTCTTACAGAAGTTACTTACTGCTGTTGTAACTTCAGGGAAGTTAGCAAGTATTTCAGGGATAATTTGGGAAATATTTTGGACCTTATTGCAGCCCTTCAATACTTAGAGGGCTTATAAGAAAGATAGGTGCACATTTTTTAGTAGAGCCTGTAGCAATAGGACAAGGGGTAATGGTTTTAAACTAAACGAGGGTAGATTCAGACTAGATACAAGGAAGAAATTTTTTACAATGAGAGTGGTGAAACACTGGAACAGATTACCCAGAGAGGTGGTAGATGCCCCATGCCTGGAAATGTTCAAGGTCAGGCTGGATGGGGCTCTGATCTAGTTGAAGATGTCCCTGATCATTGCAAGGGGGTTGGACTTAGATGACCTTTAGAGGTTCGTTCAACTCAAACTATTCTATGATATTTTACAATCCTTACTCCATGGAAACCAATGAAAAGTTGGCCATCTTCAACAATTTATTTTGAACAGCACTTGCATAGTTACCGACTTGGATTATTACTTGATTTTGTGTGTGTTTTTTCTGAGTGAAAAGAACTTGCACTTGGAAGAGAGTGTACCAGAGCAGAAGCTGAAGAAACAAGTTTTGCACTAAAACATGTCACTTGCTGGTCACTCCTACCTTTTGCTAAAAATTTTGAAGAAGCATTTGCTAGCTCGAATCTTGGAGGATGGGCTGGTGAAGGGTTCTAAGCTTTCACACATCTATTTCTTATCCAAACTGGTAGTGCTTTTATACAGTACAGGAATAATTTATCTAAAGTGAAGATACGTTGCCAGTGAAACAATTAACAAGAACTTTCTATGCTGTAAACTCCTACCTGATAAATTCATTTTCATTAAGTTAGAGAATGGTCTTTTGATTTTCTTTTTCTACTTTATGGTATTTTGCATTATGTGAGCTTTAGTCCAACAAACCACTGCAGCAATCTGAGCTCATAATTTTCATAAATAGATATGACATAAATTTGCTTTCACATATTTTCACATTGCTTAATCTTTGATTTCTAAATGGTTTAGATTATTTTAAAATAAGGCAAATACCAAAATTTCCTAACATTTCTTAAATACTTATGAGTTAGCTAGAAAAACCTCTCTCTTCTACTCTGCAGCAGCATAAAGTAAGTACATGCCTTTAGAAGTAACAGGGAGAAGAGGTTACTTGACAGTTGCACTTGTGTTAAGGTATTTATTTTTCTTTCTCTCTCTTAAGGCTTTCTCTTCTCTCTCTCAACTAGTCTATTAAATGTCCAGATCCTCAGCTGGCAAGTTTCTCTCTTATCATACAAACACTACATCAAGTAAAAATGAATTGAGTTTACTTTAGATAGTTTTTTTGAAAAAAGGAGGTTGAAGGAGGATGCTATGCAGGTGTGGCTAATTGTTAACAAGTAACATGTAAAATTGCACAAATGGCTAATACAAATCAACTTTTTAGTAGAAAGGAACCACTGAAGCCAAAGTTTCTCTATTGTAAGCAGTGTTGCAATGACATGTTTGCATTTGTGTTATGTAAATTTAAATACAGCATCTGATTACTGTGTGGTGCCAGGATTGAATTAAAAAAATGTAGGTTAATTGTGTGCTTACTTTCAAGGAATAATACATTTTTGAAAGGATGGGTTTGCTTGATTTGCAGCTTACACCCACAAAAATGCAGTAGCCCTGGGTGAAACCACTGTGACTGCCTGCCATGTAAAACCAGGAAGATTTAAAAACAATAACTTTACTACTGTGAATGATCTTAAATAGGATAAAACCCACTGGTACATCCTCAGGTGGATTAAATTGGCATAGTTCTGCAGCTATACTGATTTATACCACCTGAAAATCTGAACCCATTACATGTTAAGCCAAATATTTTTAGCAATAATTTGCAAATAAATCAAGATGCAGTTTTTGGCAAACACTGATATCTTGTTAAGGCAATATTGTAGAAGGTAAGGGCCCCTTGGCGTCTGTGGCAAAATTCCCACTGATTTAAACTGAGCTAAGAATATATCCTTATATCCTAAGGGTAACTTAATATAAAGCATATGAAATTGAAGGCTAATCTAATGTTTGTAAGAACGATCCAAGCCACCTGTATTTGTTAGATTGAGCTGGAAGTTATATAATAATAATTCTTCCCATTAGACTTCTAGTCCTTTTTTTAAAGCCAAAGCATTTTTCTGAGGTTACTTGTGGTTTTGATCCTTCTCAGAAACTAGTTATTCTGAGATAATGAAAATGAACCCAAAATGGAGCCTAGAGAATGTCACATACAGAGGAAACAGAAGGATTTCTTAGTTTTCTCACGGTCAGTTTTCAAACGTTTGTATTTTGACCTTTTGTTCTCCTCTGTGTTATACTGTTATACAGTAAAATGGAAGCCCTGTGATGAACTGACATATTCTGCAAAGAGCATTGAATGGTTTCTTTCAAACTTTTGATTAACTGGTGTGTTAAACAGAAATTCAGATTTCTACATAAACTGGTCAAGAGCATTTCAAGGGTATAGAGTATAGCATGAAGGCTAGTTAAGTTAAACCTATATTATGATGGAATGAAGTGTAAAGGGTCCCTGCATTTTCCTAAAATCATGAGTGGTAATAGGTCAAAATCAGCCAAGCTGAAGAAGTATCAGTTCCTGGAACTGTATTTTTTCCAGGCTGGGTCTATGGGTGAAGGTATTATCAAACATTATATTCAGCATGCACCCCCAATAGATGTATATTTATTTATAAATTATATAGATGTACTACTGTACTCATATGTTAAGTACATTGTAAACCATACCCAAATATAGACATTGAAAAGGATAAAATAAAGCTGAAATAAAAACTTTAAACATTTTTATTAATAGTACAAAATTTTCTTCCTGCACTCCAGTTGATTGTCTTGTGCCTCCCACTGGGGTATATAAGCCCCACTTTGGAGACCAGTGCCTTTGACTGTGGATGAGCTACCTGTTCATAAAGCTAGTCTTGCCTGTGCTGTAAACAACCTGGAAGAAAAGGACTTGGATATGTAAGACAGCAAGACATGATAGTATATTGAGACAGTGTCAGACCACTCAGCTAATTTGTCTCAAGGGCAAATCTTTTTCTTATTTAAAAAGTATGCATCGAATGCAAGAAGGCTCTGTTTCAGGCTCCACTGTGTGTGAGGGCTGGATAAACTTTGGATAA